GAGCAGGCATACGCAAAACGTCACCAAGCCACTGGAGGCGGTGTAGTGCGATTGCTTTTAAAGAACGACTATCCACACCCAAAACACGGTAACGAACCTCGTCATTACTCACACCATGTTCCACCAGACACGAACAGTGCTTCGAAGGCATCGGTGGTCGAATACAGAAAGTCGATCAACATATTGAAAGCGAAGGGGCCAGGTCTCGCAACCGTAGAGCAGAACACTATGAAACGCCGCGACGTACACATTTATCTTATCTATCGGATTTCTTGGCAATGCTGTAGGTGTCGTAGATTGGCGAGAGCTGCCGTAGCGTTCGCTGTTCTTTATGTGCTATCCTCTACACTAGCTGCAATCAAGCTCCCATGGTACTTAAAGCTCTCAACTACTTCCAACTAATCACCACATAGAGTGAGTGCAGGCACAGGCTCCTGTCAGTCTTGAACCTGGGTTCCTCTATCGCCAGGCAGGTGACCCACCTCGCGCACATCAGTGCCACTGTTACCTGGCTTTTTTTCACACTTCATTTCCCCTATACCAAACAAAATTCACTACATATACGGATATGTTTGTATGCATTTAATACAATAAAACGCTTTGTCGATCTGATAAGTGAATCAAGATGGATCAGCCGTAAACAAAGATGCTCAGTGGCCTGTGTTAACTTCTGTAATATTTTCGAGCAATCACCACCATCCCACTTACCCACTCATGTGTCTCCGGATAGTCTTCAATTGTCCACAGCGTTCTTCCTGCAAGTCGATTCGATTAGTGTGCATTCAATAGATCAAATAGAATAGAGGCAAGAATAATGTTGAGTATTTTAAAATTCTACTTATTGACTGAACTCCTCATTATTGGAACCGAAGTACATTTGTTTTATAAACGTTTTATGCCATCTAGTGAACTTAAGTTCATTATGAGAGGTAGTCCCATAATGATTCTCCGCGGAACAATCTTTTCAAAAGCCCGTACAATATTTTATCCGGATTTTTTTAGCTATTGAGTTATTTCCAAAGTCTCTTTCTGTCACTCCTCCCGCTCCGCTATTTCTTTAGACTTATGAAGGTGGATTCGGTGCACAACCAGGAATCGAAGCCCATGGAGGCTATACGTTTTGCGCGGTGGCTGCTCTATGCCTACTCGGTCGTGCAGATTTGATCAATATTCCACGCTTGTTACATTGGGTCGCTCATAGACAAATGGCTAGTGAAGGTGGATTCCAAGTAAGCTTGATTTTTGCATTATTTATTAACGGATGAAAAGTTGTTGGTTTTCGAAATAGTGTTGGATATCTGTTATTCGAATGCTAACTGCTTGTGGTTATTTATTCTTCTAACTTGCTGTTCAGCTTCGGAACTTTTCCTCCCGAGTGACGGGAATCAGTTTCAATCCTATCCTATCCTCTTGCGTCCGAATAAACAATTAAAGAGAATATTCGTCTCTAGTTTAATGATAAGGCGTTCAAAAACAGACATCGATTTCGTAAAATTCCACCTAATTCGTCGTAATTTTGAAAATAAAACTATCTTCTGTGGGATTCAATGATTCCCTTTAGCACCCTCGTAATTCTTGTGTTGTAACCGTCGTGTTCATTTAACTTTCATTACTAGGATGATGTGTTATAGGTTTCCGTTCCTGCTGAACTACCTACCTGATAATCCGCTCACACACTGGTTTGCGCCGAGTTGTCCATGCGATTGAGTAGCTTTACCGAATTGGAAAAGATAAACCGCCTGGCTTTGTCAAACATTCTGATTCATACGTGCTTAATGTTAGGCATACAGTCAGCTGCTACCATGGTATGGGGTAAAGAACGAAGCTGGATGATCACCCCAGACGCCTAACCTATCGTGGCCTTATGTGGTTCACCACTCCAAATCCCGGGGCTTAAGTTACCCGGTTCCATCACTGAACAACAGGTCCTCATGACTATGGGGTTTACCCCGTCTGCTGTTCATCACACGAAAGTGTGTAATAAAAAAACTGATCCCACACACAACTGTAATCCAAACCACCGAAATGCAAAACAGGATTGCCTCCTGCTCTTCGTTTCTGACCTCATGACCCCCATACGGTGATCCCGACAGACATCTGGCACAATGGACGGTACATCTCTTTAAAGCCTGAACTCGCAAAGAGCTTATAACTAATTGGAAGT